TTCTGTGATGGCGACTAAGTCATATCTCTCCCGCTGCACAATGGCTTCCAGCTCCTCCTGTTTGCCGCCCATGCTGTGTGCATTGGTGTAGATGCACTTGAGCTGGGCTATCGATTTCACCCCCAGCACTGGCATGCGCCCTAGGCTTCTCGATGAGCCCCGCCAAGTCATGAGCAAATCTTACATTATGTAACTTCTCACAGATAGTGTTCTGCAAGATTATTATCGAAATATGATTAAATCATCCTCCTCTTACATTGTAATCTACTGTCATATCTCCAGGCTATTGATCTCTTTATGTAAGTGATCAAGTGGCTGCTGTTACCTTGTAGACAGTGCTATAGTAGCCTTACTATAGGACAGTTGTTTTACACTCACTTTTAAACAAAGTCACTTTTGTGTTCATTGAGACATGTACCATCATTAAACAAAGTCAAAGCCAGGGAATTGAGTCCACAGTTTAAAGTGAAGTATTTTGGAAGTTACAGTTACACATAAGAATATCAATATTAACAGTTTTTAATCCCTATTTAGTATGAAAACAAGTTCTCAAGTCTTGGACTTTACCAACAAAATATTATTTTGTGTAGGCTAACATTTCTCTAATGGAAAAAAGCAGCTTTGCAGAAAGCACGCTGTTAATTATGTTTTATTTAATTCCATTTTCATGTGTCTTTAACAATTAAGTTATTTCATCATGAAAATGGAACAGAAAAAAACAACTTTCTGTATGATGAGATGTTAGCATCTGTATTCTGTTACATAGCTGAAATATCAACTATTTGTCTAAACCATCACTAAGGACAAATTCATTTTCATGAAGTTTTTTACATGTATATATCTTGTCTGTAATACATACTATTCATATCAGACAAGTTAGATACCAAGCTTCACAGAAGTTGTAAAGTTTGCAATCATAACCACAGCTCATCTGCTGTGGTTACGCAGCAGATACGCTTAGCAGAGAATAAAGCAAATATTTACCTGTGTTCATCATGTGGATTACCACTTGCTCTTAAGAGAACGCATAAAGAATAATACCAAAGCAGAGGAAAAACTGGTGTGCCAAATAACAAAAAAGTCATTCAGAGAGGGTTGGTCAGTACATATAGTGTGATCAACTTGGTGATCAACTGGTAACTATTATGGAGGTTTTTCAGATTTTCAGCTAAGTGTTTAGCTGGACATTTACATTTCATACTTTCCAAAGGAGACAGTTTTAAAAATTCACCCTGAAAGTGGGCAAGGAAGATATTTCAGTCAGTAGAGGCATAAGTACTTCAGACTACTTGGGTTTGCTGAGCTTTTTTTAACTTGAGATAAGAGCCTGTATATGAAGAGCTATGTACCACAGAATAGATGATGTGTGGTCCTATGGCCACGCTGCTAACCATAGAAATCTTCAAAAGTTTCAAGTTTCTTGCACTGAACAAGTTCAAGATGTTAATGCTAAGTGACAAACTTCTTCCAAAGAAGTTTCATATTGATGAACCTGTGACTAAATTTACAGAATATTGACAAATTAATCCAAAATAATTTCTTTCCTTACTCAGTATTGGGCTTTCCTTGAAAAAACATAACTTTTCCGAAAATAATTTTCCATGTGGCTGATATTTGTCAATGTGTATGACAGCATTTTCAAGCAGTGTATTACTCCTACAATCTATTCTCTGCATGTGACTTCAGCCATTGACCAGCATAAAATGAAATACAGCAGCAATTTGCTGTCATTTCACACACTGTTTTGGGGTGGGGGTAGGGTTTAGCTTTTGGCACTGTTCAGAGACAGAATACACTGTTGGCTTTAAAAGTATAGCTGAGAACACTGAAAACACATTTTTGAAGTCTCAGGTTAGACTTAGCAATTGTTGACTCTTAACAAAGAATTACGGATGGTATAAATGTGATTAAAGAGTTACAGTTTCTTTTCAACTTCCTGAAAAACACCTTTGGAAAAAACACCACTGCATTTCTGAATCACATCACCATAATTTTTGAAAAATTACTCAAAAAATGCACATAACTGGAAATAACCATAGCCCATTTAAGAGCTCTCATGTGGAGTCGTCATGTTTTCAGCATTTCCTGTGGGATTAAGAATTTGACGATTTCTTGCACCACAGCGTTACAAGGCACAACTCATACAGAGCAGCTAGAACCTTAAAGTAGAAATGATTGTTTACAATGCTATACAAGATGTAAAATATGTTCCTGTTTTCCAAGTCCACAAGCAATGGCTGTATGAAAGAGGATATCTGCGTACTGAAATCAGAGTAGAGGATCAATATAAAGACATTGCTTTAGAAAAAGAAACCCCCCAGACTACAAGAACTTGCCATTCCTCCATACAGTACTGCAAGGATACAGTCTAGCAGAGGTGACCTGGAGGAGAAGAGCTGCTTGGAAGTGCAGAAGATATACCGAGAGGATTATTATTGTCCTGTTCCAAGGGTTTCTTGGAAAGTACCTTTCCTCAGATGCTTTGAAATTGTTCAGGTGAACGAGCTCTCTAGTGCAAGCTGAACATAGCTTAGAAACAAATTTTGGGAGCAAAGTACACATATAAATGGGATGAATGTCTTCCTTGCACTGAGAAAGCAGCTGGCCCATCTAGCATCTTTTTTACATTCCCCAAGCCTTTTTTCCTCATGTTTCTCCCAAGCACATTCACTTTGGTACTTAGCACAGGCAAACTGACAGCTGTGCATATGGGAAATACTATATGTATCACATCATTGCCTTTCATAACGCCCATTAGAATTTCTGAACCACCGATGTCTAAGACAATTATTTACTGAATTGCATAAAGCTAATAATTCAACAAATAATCTCAGTTTTGAAATCGGGGAAGTAACTGCTGCTGTTTTCTAGAATTCATGCAGAACTGCACTTACACCAACTGTCCTCAGCCCAGCCGCAGGTCCTGTGAGTTTGGTTCCTTGATAGATCTGGAGGAAGAAAAAAAAAATTAAAAGAAATACACCTTTGTTTGTATCTTAGAAAACCCATCTTAGAAATTTTGACTCATCATTGAAACTGTTGAAGCTGGCCCTTTTTTACAAACATGGTACCAAATACCATGTTTGGTTCAAACCACAAAGTGGCTCAGGATGACTGCAAAACCTAGGGGACATTATTTTGTTCATCACAGCACAATGCATATTTTAATCACTTGCAGTTATCCCTCTTTTTCTATTAAGTGATACTTAGCCAGGATGTGCACGTAGGTGCATACAGGAGGTCCTGACGCTCTCCACCGGCGTTCTCTCACTCCTTCCTTTAAGTGGACACTTTGTGGCAAATTATTTATAAACCATGGCCTCTGTCTTCACCCTTTGCTTCCACTATAGAAGCAGAGATTCCACTTTGCCCAGTTACCCAACATCTTTTTCAATAATCCTTCACTAAAGCTCAAAATGCTCCAGGCCAGCAGAAAGCTTGCTGCAGCTGGGCTTCTAGACTACAGTGCTATTACCGTCACTCCCTTGACCTGTAAGCTGGAATGATCTGAACACTGGAAAAGCAGGTTAGATCTCAAAGTCATCTAGTAAAATCTTTTTTAAAAGTGTGTTGCATGGGGTTGCATTCTAGAGGAATTTTCCTCGTGTTACACACTGGACAGGGCTAAGATAAAATATCTTCTTTTAAACAGACATACAAGATATACAACTACCTCCAGCGCTCATAAAACCAAATGCAGTCACGCCACGGGGAGGGAGGAGACTTCCTTTTATTCACCTATTATTCACCGGCGCTTATACCGAGATCGCCCTGCCACGATTTCACCACTGCCCAGGAAGCAGGCACCCAGGCTGCCAGGTTACTCTTTGCGCAGCACCGGCTCCAGCGCCCTCAGTAAAGCCCACCCCAGAGGCAAGACCCGACCCGTCGAGGCTTTTTGCGCTGCGCAGCGCCACGCGGCCCTGCCCCGACGCCCACGCGGACGCCGCCGCCCACCCCCGCTGCCGCGAGCGCCTCTACCAGGCGCTGGAGCTCTGCCCCGGCCGCAGGATCAACTGCTCGGGGGTCGTCCGCGGGGATGAGAAAGCCATCCAGGAGGCCCAGCTCAGCAACCTGGAGGTTGCGAACAAAAAGGTTGCCCTGACGCCCGGCGAGTACCTGAACATGACGAAGGACTGCAGCAGCTTCAAGGAGACCCGGCGGTTCATTGAGTTCCCGCTGAGCCAGGAGGAGGCAGAGTTCCCCATCGCCTACTCCATGGTCATCCACGACAAAATCGAGATGTTCGAGCGGCTCCTGCGGTCCCTCTACGCCCCCCAGAACGTCTACTGCGTCCACACTGACAGCAAGTCCCCGGCCGCCTTCCAGGAGGCTGTGCGGGCCATCGTAGCCTGCTTCCCCAATGTCTTTGTGGCTAGCCGCCTGGAAAAGGTGGTCTATGCCTCCTGGTCCCGGCTGCAGGCCGACCTCAACTGCATGCAGGACCTGTTGCAGAGCCCCATACCATGGCACTACATGCTCAACACCTGCGGCACTGATTTCCCCATCAAGACCAATGCCCAGATTGTCCGTGCCCTGAAGATGCTGCAGGGGCGGAACAGCATGGAGTCAGAGAAGCCCTCGGCCTTGAAGCAGGAGCGCTGGCAGTACCACCACGAAGTGGGGGACTTCATCTCCCGGACAGCCACAGAGAAACTGCCGCCACCCCACAACTCTCCCATGTTCACAGGCAACGCGTACATCGTGATCACGCGGGCCTTCGTGCAGCACGTCTTTGAGAACCCCACGGCGCAGCAGTTCCTCGAGTGGGCCAAAGACACCTACAGCCCTGACGAGTACGTCTGGGCCACCCTCAACCGCATGCCCGGTGTGCCGGGCGCCATGCCCCAGAATGACAAGTTCCAGCTCTCGGACATGAACGCCCTGCCCCGCCTGGTCAAGTGGCAGTACCTGGAGGGCGACACCAGCAAGGGCGCGCCCTACCCGCCCTGCACCGGCCAGCACCAGCGCAGCGTCTGCATCTACGGGGTGGGCGATTTGCCCTGGATGCTCCAGCAGCACCACCTCTTGGCCAACAAGTTCGACCCCCTGGTGGACGATGCCGCCATCCAGTGTCTCGAGGAGCACCTGCGCCACAGGGCCCTCTACGGCAGGGGACTCTGAGGGGAAGCCGCGG